CTCACTCACTCACTCACTCACTCACTCACTGACACAAACACACAAAATAAAAAATTATAATGTAAAAATAATTGTTACATTAATAATCATTCAAGTTAATAGTGAATCATTTAAGGTTATTAATAATAACATTTGGTATATGACATAAACATAACATTTTTAGTTTAAAAAATATTTACTATTACAACGTGTTACTATTACTATTGTGTACTTTTACTAGCTCAAGCTACTTTATAGACATAGCGGTATTGTAAAAACTATAATTTTTAAGTTTAACAGTTCTGTATGATAAAAACAGGTACAATATTGTTGTATTCAATTTTATTCAGTACGACATATCTTTTGATAATATTTATTAATGTAATATTAAGACATTAAAATATTTAAGTGAAAACGACTTATGACTTAAATTACAATAGTTTAACGTTACAAATTTGATAAAAAATCATATAAAAATGTGAAAATCATAAAATTGTATTTTAATAGTTTAGTAATATTCCAACAATTTTTATTATAGACTATAATTTTTAGTCTATTTAACAATACCATTCATACTGTACTCTACAGTTTGTACTCTATTGTGAACTCATCATACAGTGAATAAATCAAATGTGTAAGTACAATCAAGATTAACCACGTGTAGGTATGTATTAAAGTGCATGATTTATGTGAAATGCATTTAATTATTTAATTATAAATCTCATAAAAATTATTAGTATTTATTTTTGTCCAGAATTTTATCTAATTTGCGTTTATTTGGACTTATATTTTAAGCATTAATATAATATGTTGTAATTTAAATCACAAGCTCTTTTTACAAAAAGTAAACGCAATTATAAGTTTTATATTAATATTTAATACAAATATAAATAACTACGCTATAAATGATATTTAGTTTTTCAATTCAAGTATAATGATTAAACAAATTTCTTATATTTTTAGAAAGTATTTTGCAAATACCTACTAATCAAACAACTATTTTACTGATAATTATTGGAGTAAATATTATTTTCCGCTATTATTAACACAATTATTATTATTAAAGTTGTTTTGGTGTTTATCAACATTAATTGTGAACATTATTGATTTAGTAGTTATTATAATCACAATAAAGCACCAAGATGGGTCATAATATGAACGAACAAATCACCAGCGTACAGGCCTTGATGCATTTATTAAAGGCCTACGTGGGCACCGGTATACTGGCTATGCCAAAAGCTTTTAGGTAATAATTGCATTAAAAATTATTATTTAAATATAATATTTAATAATTTAAATTAATATATCCCTTACCTTAAATTCAATTATAAAGTTATTCCGGTTATGTATTGGGAGCTATCGGTACACCAATTATCGGTGTTTTGTGCAACAGTTGTATTCATATGTTATGTGATGTCAACCAACACCTATCCTCACAATTAAAATGCGAGCCAATGGACTACGAGGAGGTAATATATTTTTATACAGTACCATGTTACTTTTAAACAATGTATTCATATATTATACTGTATAATATTATAGTTGACCAAGACATGTATAGAATGTGGACCCCGTTGGGTACATAAATTTTCTAGTTTCGCAAAATATCTAATCATTGTCCTGCTCATATTTACTCAACTGGGCTTTTGTTGTAGTTATTGCCTATTTATGTCCGAGAATATGCGCCAGGTAATTATCATCCTAACACACAATTTTATCTATAATTAGTTAAAATAATTTTTTATATAGTTTTTAGTCAATATGGACCCAACCCTACCCAACGTGTCGATGTCTATCCAATACTATCTGTTAATTATTTTACCGTTCATTATATTAATGAACTTTAATAAAAGCATACGAGTGCTGACCATAGCCTCCGGGTGCGCAAACGTTGTCCAATTGGCATGTTTTGGTATTATTATATACAATTTGGTCAAGAATGTGACCCCGGCTAAAAATGTGGAGCTTGTGAGCAATCAAGTGCCGCTATTTTTCAGTACAACTGTCTTTTCATTTGAAGGCATTACTGTTGTAAGTAAATGATTAATTGAATTACTTTTTATACAATACTAGCACAATTTGAGTCCAGGCTATTTTACTCATATTATTATGAATAATATTCTAAGTTATGTAATTTCAAACATAAGATATTTTAATACTTTTAGTAACTAAAGTTTTTTAAAGTAAATTAATTTTCTATATGCTACCTAGTAATTCAACATAATGTACTAATAATATTTGTGATTAATAATTATGCTTTATTATTTTTCACCAAGACAATGCCATTATACAAGTCCATGAAAAACAAGAATAACTTCTCCAAACTCCTTGGTGTTGTCAACTGTTCCCTGGTCATAGTGGTCATACTCTACCTGCTCATCGGTCTACTCGGTTACCTACAGTATGGGTCAGATGTGCAAAGTGTCATAACTCTATCCCTACCAAATGAGCCTGTTTACAACAGCGTACGGATCATGTACTCCCTGGTCATTAGCATCTCATACGCGGTTCAGATGCATGTGGCGATCGAGCAGTTGTGGCCCCGGCTTAAGGCCAGTCTCCATGACCTCAAAATGAACACCATTTTTGTTAACGTTTTTGAGTATATTTTCCGCGCATTTTTGGTTATCATTACGTGTAAGCAAAACATGACTTATAATTAAATTTTTTATAATTATTGTTACAAAAATTTTCCATGCTAATAAAAAAGTAAATATTTTATATTTATTGCATAGTTGCCCTTGCGGCATTCATACCGCGATTAGATTTGATTATTTCACTGGTAGGTGCCGTATCATGCAGGTTAGTATCTTTTTTAGGTAAAGTAAAATTTAATAAATTTTTTAAATTAATATTTTTCCTATTATTACAATTTGCTAGCTCTGTTGCTATTATAATACCACCGGTGCTGCACACTATTTCCTATTTGGAAAGGGATATCAGTGAGTGCCCTTAAATAAATATTATAATTTCTAATATATTTTTAATATACATACTAATATTTTTACAAAATTTAATTAAAATACATTTTTGCTTTTTGTTAGAATCGCGACAAAAAGTTTTAATATATGTTAGAAATCTGGTGGTGTTTCTCATAGGCTTACTTGGATTTGCAACAGGCACATATTTCTCAATCAGTGATATAATCGAAAGTTTTATATAAAATTTATATTTATTGTTTTATAATTTCATTCATTATTATCTCACATTCATTTGTCATAAAATGTTTTGTATTTTATTGTCATTAATAAAATGTTATTTTTATGCAAAAATAAAAACACGTTATAATTAAATATTTTAAATAATAAATGTGAACTAAAACTTTCATTTCAATTATGTTGTAATATTAATTTTCACTACTATTTAGTATGAATACATTTATATGAATTAACGTAACCTTTTGAACATTATATTAAACAGTTAGCTCTGTGGCTATTATTATACCACCGGCGCTGCATACAATTTCCTATTGGGAAAAGGATATTAAATTTAGTGAGTGTGCTCAGCACAATAAATATATTTCTAATATGCTACTCATATAATATTTAATTAAAATATATTTACAATTGGCTAGAATTGCGTCAATGATGTTTGATCTACAATAAAAATCTTATTGCATTTCTCATAGGCATATTTGGGTTTTGTAACAAGCACATATTTCTCAATACACGGCATAGTCGCCAGTTTGTTGTTTAAATATAGCTTTTGAAATCTACGATAAAATTTATTTTTAAATAAAAACTTTTGTGTCGCAAAACACAAATGAAAATCGTATGTAAGGTCTCACAACAGTTTAGATGCCATACATGTGTGCCTTAAATATCAAGTTTACATCAGTTTTACGTAAATTATATTTGTGTTATAAAATATTTTCTAGTGTTTCATCTCATTCACTATTATCACACATTCACTTGTCATAAATAAAAGTTTATATTTTATTGTCGTTTCATAAAATATGAACTATTTTTGTAAAATAAAAAATTCAATAATAATTATTATGTTGTTTTATTTAAATAAATTGTACATTATACAATATGCACTATAGTTTAAACGCTGTATACAATATATGACCTTAATTTAATTATGTGTCAAAGTTTTAATTATTTTTGTGTTTACTAATTGTTTATTACTTTAAAATGCAATAAAAATTCATAAGTCTTTTTATCATATAAACTGAAAACTATAATAAACTTATTATTATACTTAATATTTCAAAGAAATTATTTAACTATCTTTATGTTTCCATAGTGTTTGTTATGTATTTTTAGTGAAATATATTTTATTTTTAAAATCAAATTTTAAGTTCACTTAAACTACCAAGTGCAATCATGCCTGAGCAAATTAATAGTCTACAAGCCTTAATGCATTTGGTTAAGGCATGTGTGGCCACCGGGATATTGACAATGCCCCGGGCATTCAGGTTAGTATTATTATTAAATTATTTTTACTTAACAAGCTAATTTCACACAAAATATTAGTTACTCGGGAATTGTATTGGGAATCATAGGCACCGCTATTATCGCTATTTTATGCAACAGTTGTATTCATATGTTGATTGACTTAAACCAATACTTATGTCTAGTGTTGAACTGCGAGCCAATGGACTACGAAGAGGTAATTAAGGAATATCATTCAAAAAAATAAACATTGTAATTTATAACACCTAATTTTGACCTAGGTGGCTGAGAAGTCGGTGGCAAATGGTGCCCAAAGACTACGAAAATACTCGCGATTCACCCGTAATTTAGTCATAACTTTCCTCATAATCACGCAAATGGGCTGTTGTTGTAGTTATTATCTATTTATTGCGGAAAACATACGTCAAGTAAGTCATCAGACACATTTAAAAGTCCCGCCATTATTTTTAAAAATAATTTATATTAATAATTTAAACTATTTTACAGTTTTTAATAAACTTAACCGACTTACCACACGCATCCATGAACATTGAATACTACCTGGCCATATTACTGCCAATTATGATAGTAATTAATTTTATCAAAAGCATACGACTGCTAACCATAGCATCAGGGTGCGCTAATGTCGTACAATTGGTATCATTTATAATAATAATCTACAATTTAGTCCAAAAATATATCCCTTACCTTAAATTCAATTATAAAGTTATTCCGGTTATGTATTGGGAGCTATCGGTACACCAATTATCGGTGTTTTGTGCAACAGTTGTATTCATATGTTATGTGATGTCAACCAACACCTGTCCTCACAATTAAAATGCGAGCCAATGGACTACGAGGAGGTAATGTATTTTTATACCATGTTACTTTTAAACAATGTATTCATATATTATACTGTATAATATTATAGTTGACCAAGACATGTATAGAATGTGGACCCCGTTGGGTACATAAATTTGCTAGTTTCGCAAAATATCTAATCATTGTCCTGCTCATATTTACTCAACTGGGCTTTTGTTGTAGTTATTGCCTATTTATGTCCGAGAATATGCGCCAGGTAATTATCATCTTAACACACAATTTTATCCATAATTAGTTAAAATAATTTTTTATATAGTTTTTAGTCAATATGGACCCAACCCTACCCAACGTGTCGATGTCTATCCAATACTATCTGTTAATTATTTTACCGTTTATTATATTAATGAACTTTAATAAAAGCATACGAGTGCTGACCATAGCCTCCGGGTGCGCAAACGTTGTCCAATTAGCATGTTTTGGTATTATTATATACAATTTGGTCAAGAATGTGACCCCGGCTAAAAATGTGGAGCTTGTGAGCAATCAAGTGCCGCTATTTTTCAGTACAACTGTCTTTTCATTTGAAGGCATTACTG